GGCTCCAGTCGGCTTAGTAGGTTCCAATTGATCTGACTAGCTTCAGTTAACCTGAACGACTACAATCGCCTAGCCAATTCTGATCGATCGGCCAGCTCAAATCAGCCTAAACAACTCCATTTAGCAAGACCAGCTACAATTGACCAGGCCATGTTAGCTCCAATCAGCACAGCCAGCTATAACTGGCCTAACCAACTTCAGTCGGCCTGATAGGTTCCAGTCGACCCAACCAGGTCAACTCTAGTCAACCCAGTCCAGCTCTAGTTTATCCAGTCAAGCCAGCTCTAGCCAGCCATGCTTGACCAACTCCATATAACCTATTTGACCTAGCCAAAAAGCAACCAAATGATGAGTCAACACATGAAATAACTAAAATAACCAGTGAAAATCCATCCATATGTTGGTAAACATGTAATATCACAATTTTTCTAACTCATATATAAGTAGAAGAACAATTTTATGAAGAAAACATGATATTTACTATTCATTTTAGAGATTATTCCTCTCTCTCTCTATATTTTTATACTCCCCCTGCAAGCTCTATTTCTTGGGTGTAATTCACATATAACATTAGATTCAACATCTTAAGAGATGGAGTGAGTGTGAAATATGTCACAAATAAATAGTTGGGCAACAAAACCCAGAAGAATCAAGTCAAAGAGAAGTAACTAGTAATATATAATGCATTAGAGAACTTGTTTGGGAGAAAGTTAAATTTGTCTATTCGGCTTCATCCAGATGGCCCAACCAGCTCCAGTCAGCCCGTCAAGCTCTTGTCGGCTCGCCAAGCTCCAGTCGACTGGGTCAGCTCTGGTCAACCCAATTCAGCTCCAGTCGGCTCGATAAGTTCTAGTTAGCCCAGAATAACTCCAGTCGACCGAACCAACTCTATTCGGCCCGACCAACTAAAGTTAGCAAGCGAGCTCCAGTAGACCCAACCAGCACCACTTGATTTGATAGATTTCAGCCAGCTTGACCAGCTTTAATCGGCTAGGAAATTTGTTCTCCAAAAAAGGTTCTCCTAAAAACATTTTCAATAAAATAGTTATCATAGAGAAGATAAGTCACAAAAGAATGAAGCCAATCAATAAGATAAATTTTACAAGAAAAATCTGTCAGGACCCTCATCATTGTTTTTGTTTTGCTGCATTTATGCATTATCTAACTTTTGTAATGTGGATTCGCCCATAGCACTTGGAGAATTTGCCTCTCACAAGCAAGTTTCTAACCAGTAAGAGAAAATGGCCTACATTTTTCTTACCATACTTGGCTTAATAGCCAAAATGCTATGGATGAGTTTGGAGAAGCTCTTTCGAAGAGATTACATGGTCAAATTATGAATAAAGCTAGTTAACCCATGGCTGAAGACCACGAGATCTCACCCCAGTTAAAGTTGAAAATTAGGACAACTACTCCTTACATGAGAGCTATGAACTCTAGGCCAAGGATAGTTTGAATTTAGCGAAATTACTTAAATGTCTTCATAATTGAGTCATATTAAAGTAAAATAGTCAATCTGGTCACATAAAAAGGGAGACTCATTTCAATTGTAACACTTGGAACTCTCCTTATAAGATTAAGTGTGTTTTTGTTTAAGATTTTAAAACCAGCTTTTCCTCCAAACAGTGTTTTCATTTCATTTGATTCATGTGAACGAAGCTATTCAATTAGAAAGACTTTACAGGAAAAACGCTCAGGACCCTCATCCTTGTTTTTGTTTTGCTGCAGTTATACTTTTTCTTACTTCTTTAATGTGGATTCACCCATAGCACTTGGGGAATTTGCCTCTCACAAGCAAGTTTCTAACGAGTAAGAGAAAATGACCTACATTTGTTTTACCATACTTCGCTTAATAGCCAAATGCTATGGTTGAGTTTGGAGAAACTCATTCTGAGAGATTACATAGTCAAATTATGAATAAAGCCAATTAACCCATGGCTGAAGACCACGAGATCTCACCCCAGCTAAAGTTGAAAATTAACTACTGCTTACATGAGAGCTATGAACTCTAGGCTAAGGATAATCTGAATTTAGCGAAATTACTTAAATCTCTTCATAATTGAGTCATATTAAAATAAAATAGTCAATCTGGTCACATAAAAAAGGAGACTCATTTCAATTGTAGCACTTGGAACTCTCCTTATAAGATTAAGTGTGTTTTTGTTTAAGCTTTTAAAACAAGCTTTTCCTCCAAACTGTGTTTTCATTTCATTTGGTTCATGCGAATGGAGCTAGACAATTAGAGAGACTTTACAGGAAAAACGCTCAGGACCCTCATCCTTATTTTTGTTTTGCTGTAGTTATATTTTTTCTTACTTTTTTAATGTGGATTCACCCATAACACTTGGGGAATTTGCCTCTCCCAAACAAGTTTCTAAAGAGTAAGAGAAAATGACCTACATTTTTTTTACCATACTTCGCTTAATAGCCAAATGCTATGGATGAGTTTGGAGAAGCTCATTCCAAGAGATTACATAGTCAAATTATGAATAAAGCCAATTAACCCATGGCTGAAGACCACGAGATCTCGCCCCAGTTAAAGTTGAAAATTAACTACTGCTTACATGAGAGCTATGAACTCTAGGCTAAGGATAGTCTGAATTTAGCGAAATTACTTAAATGTCTTCATAATTGAGTCATATTAAAATAAAATAATCAATCTGGACACATAAAAAAAGGAGACTCATTTCAATTGTAGCACTTGGAACTCTCCTTATAAGATTAAGTGTGTTTTTGTTTAAGCTTTTAAAAAAAGCTTTTCCTCCAAACTGTGTTTTCATTTCATTTGGTTCATGTGAATGGAGCTAGACAATTAGAGAGACTTTACAAGAAAAACGCTCAGGACCCTCATCCTTATTTTTATTTTGCTGCAGTTATACTTTTTCTTACTTTTTTAATGTGGATTCACCCATAGCGCTTGGGGAATTTGCCTCTCCCAAACAAGTTTCTAAAGAGTAAGAGAAAATGACCTACATTTTTTTTACCCTACTGGGCTTAATAGCCCAATGCTCCGGTTGAGTTTGGAGAAGCTCTTTCCAAGATATTACATATTTAAATAAAGAATAAAGCTAGTTAACCTAGGGTTGAAGACCACGAGATATCATCCCAATTAAAGTTGAAATTTTTTAACAACTACCCCTACAGGAGATCTACGACCTCTAGGCATAAGACAATCTTAATTTAGTGAAATTACTTAAATGTCTTTATAATCGAGTCATATTAAAATAAAATAGTCAATATGGTCACATAAAAAGGAGTTGGAACTCTCCTCATAAGATTAAGTGTGTTTTGTTTAAGCTTTTAAAACCGGTTTTTCCTCCAAACTTTGTTTCCATTTCGTTTGGTTCATGTGCTCCATCATTTCGACCCGCAATACGGTTTTGAATTATTGTAGAATCACGAACGCGGATTCAACTCCGTGTTCTGCTTTCAAGAATAAAAAACCTACGTCACCCGAGCTTCGTTTCACTATTACACCCTCGCCCCTAGCTTTGTTTCTCTCACGTGTCCTTGGTGTTCCCGTGGGTCACCTCGCCTTCTCCTGTAAATTGCTACCACGTAATTCTTATGTGTTTACAAATCCAAAAGCGAAGGTGCATACCAATCCAAAGGCGCTGTAACAGTACACATCAATCCTTGGGTGTTAGATATTTAAATACACAAGATTTGTGCGTTATGTGTGCATGGGTTTGGAAGAATGCTTTGGATTGGCATATTGTGGTGGTGTGTATGCTGCATGGGTTGATTGCCCATTACTTTGGGCTTGAATTGATCACATTGCTAGTTTGGTAGTCTTATATTTGGGATTAAAGTAATGATATAGTTATTGTATTGTATATGAAAGAGTCATGGTTGGCTACAAAACTTTTTTAAATAGATGTTGGCAACTGCTTCATCTACAGATCCTTATGAAATGGAAAATGGTATATGTTGGCTTTAATGCTGCGAATAGTGTCTACATTGGTTTTAATGTTGCTTTAAAGTGAGAATGACCTGCTTTAAATTTGTTTTCTATGGTCGTATGAACCAAACTGCTCTTTAAATTCCCTACCTAAACTTGCATATTTACATACACAGCTCCTCAACATTGTCGTTCGCTTATTTCTTTGACTCGTTGCTCTTTAGAGGTTTTTAGTGATGAGATTTGTATGTACTTCGATATGATGCATCCAAACTTTCATAGATACATTGAACCATAATAGTGATGGATAAATTGATGATGATGCGAAGTCTTTGGATCCTGTTTGTATTTTGATGCATTTATTTTAAAAGAGATGGGCATTCAATCCACCTTTGAAATTTTTTATGTGGGAATTCAACCCATAATAGTGACGGATAAAATTAAAGTATTTTTATGCATTGTCTTCTAAGGTCTTATGAACTTTTGGGTGCATTATATCAATTGCTTCATATGTTAATTTGGATTTGTCGATTTGCTCAAATTCCTACTTATCTTTCCCTTTTGGTCGGGTTGTCGGTTGAGTTATGATGTTTTTTCAGCCATTGAATTAAAATTCAACCATATTTGTACAAGTTTTTGGTACTAAAATATTTATAGCATTTGGAAGTTATTTTAATTTTTCATCTGTGAAGTATTGAGCTCAATCACCATTTGGATGGTATGTATGTAAGAGTTTATTTGAGGCAGTTTATTTGGTGCGGCGGCATTTTGAAAATACAAATGAACTGTTTGGGTAAACTGCGTTTTGGCAGCTTATGCACTTTCAAAACGCTGAAATAGTTTTTTCACACCGCATAAATGTGCGGTAGCAGCTTTCTGACAGTGGTCTAATTTTTTTCAAAAACTAAAAATTTATAATAGCCACCTAGTTTATCAGCATATTATTTTTAATCAGCAAATTATTTAATAAGCTGCAGCTGCCCAAACAGACCCTAAATGTTCCTAAATATTATTATTTTATTTTTTTAAAATTGAAATATATTTCTAGTGTATAAATAAGAAGATATATATGGAAATATATCTTCCTATTATCTTCCTATTATCTTCCATAAGAAAGAATCTATGCTCTGAGAACCCCACCGAATGCCGAAGTTCCACGCAGCCATGAGAATGTCATCGCCATTGACGCCGAGCTCCACAAAAGCATTGAAAGTATATCCAACCACTTACTATCTCTGAGTGTTCCTCTCGATGAGGCGGCTATGGATGACTGTGATACTGCAGCTCCATACACTCTTCTAGGGCTTCTTATCCGCGGCGGCGACGGTGGATGTATTGGTTTTATGAGGGACTATGCGGCGCGGGGGACGAACGCGCTGCTTTGGGTGGGGCTTATCTCGATTACCTTCTTGCTTTTGCAGAAGCTTGCGAGGCTGGTGAGGTTATGGAGACAGGGGAGCAGGATTCCTGGTCCTCCCACTCCTTCCTTCTTTGGTCACTCTAAGGTTATTGTGGATGGCGGGGTTGGTCAGAATCTGATAGGTGGATGCTTTATCAGGCTTTCTTTATGTTAATTTATTCACTTCTTAGGGATTGAGATTTGGATCCGTTACTTTTGGTATGATTTTGGCTCTTTTAAGTAGCACAAATTAATGCCTATTTAAAGTTTCTGCTTTCAAGGATTGGTCATTGGAGAAAAAATTCATTTAAACTCAGATTATTAAAAATTGGGAGAGTGTCATCCGCTTTTGCTTTAGAAGAGTTTGTATGGATCAGATTAATAAAGTATTTATGGGGCGTTAGCTTTTATGTTTAATTTTTGATGAGATTATATAAATTATTGTTTGCAAATTCTGGAGATTCTGGCTGTTTAAGTTAGCTTAAAATCAAAGCTTCAGAATGAAACGTTCTGCTATTGATGCGGCTATGTATGGGATAAGTGATTGAAAGGTGCTCTTTTGGTGCCTGATATAACTAGAAAAAGAGGAATGCTACAGTGCCACAATGATTTAAATATGTTTCAATTGTACTTCTATTATGTGAGCTTAGCTTAATAGTTCTCTTTTAAGATTTATATGTTTGTACTATAAGGTTTAAAGTGTTTACAGTCAGGATTTTCAAAAAAAAGCTAGTTGTTTGTATTCAAATGTGATTGGCTTGATAATTGGTTTGTGTTTGTGTAGTTTTATAAGCTCATTTATCTAACGAGTCAAACATTAGCAAATTCTTATTTTATTGTGCTTTGTTCAGCTCAATAGTAGCTTGATTATGTATATGTATTTTAAATACACTTTGTGTTCATGAATGATTTGTTTTGTCTCGACATGTTTATGGGCCAAAAACAAGCATAAAATTTTGAGTTGTTTACATAACATTCCTAGCCAAGCAAAAATTGAGGTCACTAAAGCTTATAGCTGATTCACACCCCTATTTTGGGCTGTCTATGCAAGCTATATAGAAGAATAGATCATATGCTCTAGCTGGAAAAGAGAAATAAGATGCTCACATAATATTTATTAAAAAGATAAGAGCTCCTATTGTGAAGTTTTAATAGTGGGAGCAAATTTATTGGTGTTTCCTTGATTGTGTGCAATATTAGTTGTCTTCTAGTTTATGATGATGATTATTGTTGTTTTATTTTAAGTGTTTGGGTAAACATTAAATGTTGACTTATTTTAGGTTGATTTAAAAATTATGTGGGTTGGATCATTGGAATATACGATAAACAATTACTTTCAGACTGTATAATTTTCACTCAGTTAATGAAGAGCCATTTTTGAGGCGAGCTTAAAGCAAAAAAATTATTTATCTGTTACTAGGTATTGATATTAATACAACACCAATATTTAGCAAGACTGTTTGCATTCCACTTACAACACTAGATACAAGGAAATTAATTTAGGAATGATGTTTTTATAAATAAATTGCATCTTGAAATTCATTATTTATTCAAAATATTCTATATTAATATGAGGAGAAAATGTTAGTTTTTCATTATTTAGTGAGCTCTTAATTAAAACATCCAATGCGATTATGATTCACATCTAATTTTTCATCAATTGAAGGCTATGGAGTAGAGAGAAGACCATATAACAACACCAACAACAACAACACCAACAACAACAACACCACCAACAACAACAACACCACCAACAACAACAAAGTCTTAATCCCACTACGTGGGGTCGACTACGTGAATCATTTTTCTTCATTACGTCCTATTTAGTGTCATATTTTCATTTAGTTCTAATAAATTAAGATCATTTTTTATACAATAAGCCCAAGTTTTCCTAGGTCTACCTCTACCTTTCTTAACATAAGTTCCTTTCTAACATAAGTTGAATCTAAAACATCTACTCTTCTAATCGGATCACCAAATGGTCGACGTTTAATGCGACCAAACATTCTAAGACGACTCTCTCTAAATTTGTCCGTCACTGGAGCTACACCAATTCTATCACAGATATTTTCATTTCTCATTTTATCTCTAAGTGTCAGAGGGAAGACTATAAGGGTTGAAAAATTAGTATGTGCGGTCCCATTGATTATTTAAAATATATTTTTTAATTTTTTTAAACAAAAAAATGATTAGTAATTTTTTCCATTTTAATTTTGTACGCTGGATGTGTTGTTCGTTTGAGTGTAGTACAAGCGTGGCTATTTAGTTTTGAAGGAAATCATTTCCCTATATTAGTTTTTTGCTAATTTTTAATACTAAGTCTCTTTTGTTCCTTGTTCGTATTTCATCTGCATTGTTTGATTTTAGTTACTGCTCTTCATTTTGCTCAAAATTTGCTATGTAAAAAACTCAATTTGTGGAAATTAAATTACAGTTGTTTGTTGATATTATATATTTCTGATTCCTAAATTTAGTTTTGTTAACCATTGGGTTTAGTTGTCATATTGCTTATTCATATCTAAAACAAGAAAATGATTAAAATATTATGGGGCTGCTGACATGTTAATCCTTAAATTTTCTTTGCATGAATTTATACTATGCATCACCTTACTTGCACTAGGAAAGACTATGCTTGAGTCATCCTGCACAATTTTTTATTTTTTTATCCTTAATTTCAGTTATTGTTTAAAATTTTGTCTTTAGATTATTTATCCAAGATGCATGAGATATATGGACCCATTGTGAGATTATGGCTTGGACCTACTCAGATGCTAGTCTCAGTGAAGGATATTGCTATGATTGAAGATATGCTTGTAAAGGCAGAGGATAAGTTACCACTGATTGGAAGGGCATTCCGTCTTGCTTTTGGTAGATCCACACTTTTTGTCTCCTCCTTTGAAAAGGTAATCTCTGATAAGATTTATTATGATTTTCTGATAATATACTGCAATTACATTTTATATTGATATATTAATCATTTTGGTGAAAGTAAATAGAATTAAGAACATGGTTAGAGTCATTCTGCAGTATTTCTGAGGAAATTTAATGACATTTGATTGGTTGAGTGATAGCATTCCAGTAGTGCACATTATGCTGAAGTTGTAAAAATTTTTTGTTAATGCAATTTTACTTTTTCTGGTTTTCATGGAATGTATGTGCTATGCTGACACTGCCATTTTAGTTGTTGGATTCATTTTTCTTGCATTATTGCAGGTCCAAAGAATACGGGAGTCCTTGGAAGCATACATGAACGAGAATTTGCTTGAGCGAATGAATCAAGTTCCTGGAAAGGTGGTTGAATGCATCTCGGAAAGATTCGATTCTATCATCACTAAAGATGTTTGTGATAGTAGACGTGTTTCTCAGCACATTGCGTATTACATTCTTGGTTCTTCAATGTTTGGTGATGCTTTTATGAACTGGTCGAATGCTCCTCTATATGAGGAGCTTCTTGTTACAGTTGCTAAGGAGGCGTGCTATTGGGCTTCATATCGGATTCCTCCTTTTTGGAGCAGGAGATATTGGAAGTACTATTTTACATGCAAAAGGTTGAAGGAATTGAACGAAAATATTATCGACAAAAGCCTGAGAAATAGAAATGTAGCGACAAAATGTAATTGGAATTTGTGTGAGGTGTCGGTTTTTGGAAGAGAAAGGGTAGATGGTGCTGCTTGTTTTATGGATGCGATGATGTTGGGGGGGAGCTTGTTCAATGGGAAGACAGAAAAACATAATTTTTCGAAAGAAGAAGAATGCGGTAATATCTTAGGTTTGATGTTCCATGGTTATTTGACAACCGCGAGCTTGATTAACAACATTTTAACAAGGCTTTCGCTATGCCCGGAACTGCAAGAGAATGTAATTATCCTCCTTTCTTCATTTTGTGGATTTTGCATCTCTATGTTCTCTACACTTGTTACAAATGGCTTTTTTTTTTATGACTCTTGGAGCATCCACATTTTAGCCTAATTTTAGTTATCTTTGTCTACTTTGAAAATAGATTATGTTACTTTTTTGACATACATTTGTATCATGTGCATGCACTTATAGCTATTTGCATAATTGGCACTTAGATTTTTCTTCAAGTCCATTAAATTAGTTTTTGCATCAAAATTTGGGGCTGATCATTCTTACTCAAATCTACTTGGAGGTCTAATTAGGGGGGGGGTATAGACTCAATGATTTATATATGAGAGTAGTTAGATTGCTCAATATTTCCCAAAGGTAAAGCTTCGAGATTACTTTTTCATACCACATATATAATGTGAATGAATCAAGCCCTCTACTTTTTCATATTGATATATTAATCATGTATAAGAACTCATCCAAAGGCTAAAGGGCATGGGGTTGTTAAGACTTTTAATAAGGAAGGCTTGTAGAGGGCTTGTAGGTTGGAAAGTGTAAGTTTTGAGAAGGGAAAGCAATTATTCCTTTTGAATTTCATAGAAAACAATTACAAGATAAATACATAGTGATGGCTCCCACATTAGGAAAGTAATAAAATAAACCATAGCTCCCCATACTAAAAGAAGGAAATTGAAATTTTGACATACCAATAATTCTAAATCCTAAAAATAGAAAATACTAATAATAAAAGATTTTAAAAAAAAATTCCTAAAAAATCCAACACCCTACCCCAAGTTTGAGCATAGATATCTATCATGCTCAACTTACTTATAAGGACTTAAAACTAGGCCTGAAAAGTCATTTGCTGAATATATCTGCTATTTGTTGTGTTGTCAAAGTGAAAATGCATTCAATAAGTTCTACAATTAATCTTCTCTTTTATAAAGTGTCTATCAATCTCCACATGTTTTGTGCTATCATGTTGCATTGGATTTTTTGTAATGCTTATGACAACCTTATTGTCAACATACAACTTCATTGACATGTTTATTAGGATCCACAACTCTTGAAGAATTCTCTTCAGCCATAACATCTCACACGCTCCAGTAGACATAACTTGATATTCTACCTTGACACTACTCCTTGCCACCACATTCTATTTCTTACTTTGCCATGCAACTAGATTTACCCCAACATAAGTCAGTATCTGGACGTCGATCTTCTGTCAACAACTGAGCCTTGCATCAGTGTATGCCTAGTATTGTAATCGAGCTGAGTTGAACCGAGTATATTATAATTTGAACTTGGTTTGGTACAATTATAAATTGTTTATGTTCGACTTGAACTTGTGTTGAGCCTTCACTTGTTGTTCAAGCTTGACTTGTTTAAAATTTTCAATTTTTGAACTTGATTTGTATTTGATTTGTTTATGACAAGTGAACGAGTATTTAAACAAACTAAAAATTCAAACAAATAATAAATAATTTTACAAAACTAAATAAATAAACACTTGAATAAATCATATAAGCAAATGAACTAACTTACATACTATTATCTAGTGTCTATAATAGATATATTCTTACGAGAATTAAATTCTAAGATAAAGAAATAAATATTAAAACAAGTGCAAAATAATTTAAATGAACTAGTATTACAAAGTAACTTATAATGTGAAATCATTCTTCTATTATAGAAATAATTGATAAAAATTAAACGTAGTCAAATCAAACATAATAAAAAATAAGTAATGAAAATGATATTCACTTTCAAAATTCCATTATGCTAATTTTCAAATAGCTAATAATTAATAATAAAATAAATTTATAATTAAGAATTAATCTAAAATAATTGTTGATATAATAATATATTACAATTAAATTTATAATTAAGTAAATTTTAACTAATCAAATTTTATTTAAATAATATATCCTGTATGATAGAAGCTATATTCGAGTTTAATATTGAGTATTTAACAAGTTACTTGTTGATCAACAAACGAGTTTGTTCGTGAACATAAATGAACAAGTTCAACTATTTAGTTCATTTAAGATTCGAGTTAAAAAAGAATGTTCAAACTTGTTTATTTACTAGTTTGAGAGAAAACATGATTGAGTCTTAATCGAGCCGAGTTCGAGTTGTTCATCGAGTGCATTGGTTCATTTACAACTTTATGTATGCCTGTATGTTCTATTATGTGATTTTCTGAAAGAGTAAACCATTAGTGTATTTCTTAGGTATTTGAGAATCTTGTTAACAATTACAAAATATTTCTCAGAGGGTGAATGCATAAATTGATATATCAAACTTATAGCAAATGTGATATTTGGCTGTATATGTTACAAATATATCAACTTTCCACCAACTTTTCGGATTTGGATAAATTGGAGTGTCTGTTGGCTTATAACCACTCATTCTTGTTTCCTTTAGAAGATCAAGAACATATTTCCATTTGGACACAACAATCCCTTTCTTCGATCTAACGACCTCCATGCCATGGAAATACCTCAGAGATCCCAATTACTTGGTCTCAAAAATTGATGAGAGTGAAGTTTTCATCCGATTCATTTCATATATATCATCTCTGGTGAGAATTATATCATCCACATACACGATCAATATGATTATCTTCCCATCATTCGAATGTCTGAAGAATATTGTATGATCTCCTTGCCCTTGAGTATGCTCCTGTCCTTTAACAAGCAGTGTAAACTTTTCAAACCATGCTTTAGGCGAATGCTTCTACTCACATAAAAACTTCTTAGTTTGCACACCATTCTGCTAGACTTCTCACTAAATCTTGTAGGTGCATTTATGTGCACTTGTTTCTCAAAGTCCTCACTGAGAACTGCAATTTTTATATCAAATTGTTGTAGAGGATAAAAAGATTAGTTGTAAATGACAGAAGAACTCTTATAAAGTTTAGTTTTGTTATTAGGGCGAATGTCATAGGTCTAATTGAATCCCTTGGCAACCAATCGGTCATCACTTGTTCTAATTTACGGGTTTATCCTAAATCTTCCAACAAGTCTCCTTCATATGCCATAATTTTTTTGCAATGATCACACCACCATGGGTAGGGCAGATTTGTTTTGAAATTACTGGAACATGTAGAACGGTAGAATTTTTTTGGGCGCTTGTCATTAAAGGTGAGGAGAGGGTGAGTCCAAAAATTCAAGTCAATTTTGGTCGTGAGCTATTTCAGTACTTTAAAGCTAAGTATAGGAGAAGTTGACAGAGACAACTCCAGTGGAGAAGAAGCCGAAAAGTTTAAAACATATTGAGTATTTGTTGGGTCTATGTTCGATTCAATTCAATTCTCCTGTTCATGGAACTCGGGAATAAAAGCCTTTATAAAAATTATAGGAGGGATGGGAGAAGCACTTTCACGCAAATTACAAATCCAATGGAGCCGAAAACCGAGAAGAAATCTCTAGAGAAGAGGCTCGTCGCTGAGAAGACAAAAACGATGGAAGAGAAAGCTCTTGCTAGAAAAAAAGCCTCGTGCTAAGAAGTGACTTTAGACATCAAAGAAGGGAGGCAAGGAGCTGAAATCCTCTTTGCCGTGGTGGTATGTCTAGAGCATTGATGACAAAAATCGCGAGGAAGCTTCGACATCTAAACCAAGCGGAAGCATATCTAGATCCCTCGAACGCCGTGAGTGACTTCCCTGCCGGCTCTAATCGTGACTGTATCACATGGATATGAAGCCGTGATCCAATTTTTGTCTTCTTTGTTGGCTCTAATTGTGACTATATCACGAGGATGAAGCCGCAATGCGTCTGTTTTCCAAACTAATCGATAGTTTTTAGTACAAGTGGTGCAAACCGAAGTTTCAAATGTCTTTGTATGTCGTGATCTCGTCTGTTCTCCTGGTTTGCTGCAATTACGATTGTGTCATAAGGTTTCGAATAAGAATAAAGCGAAAGGAGGCGACGATGACACTCAGAACACGAGAGCAACCATACCGCGAGATTGAATTGGCGATTTTAACGGCTATTTCAGGCTCTGATATCATGTAAGTTTTGGGAGGGAAAAAAATTATTATTCCTCTTCAATTTCATAAAAAAAGATTACAAGATAAATAAAGGTTGATGACTCTCACATTAGAAAAGTAATAAAATCAGCCATAACTCCCCATGATAAAAAAAAAGGAAATCAAAATTATGACATACCGATAATTATAAATCCTAAAAATAAAAAAAAGGGAATTTACATACATAGCACACAAAACTATAGAATTTACATATCTCATTCCTAAAATTTATTATTTATGCATAAAGCATTCCAACTAACACCATCAAAGAGCCGCTCGATTCCGCAGGACATCATCGTATGAATTCTCCATCGAGGGTGAACTGGGGTTGGGAAAAGGAAGTTTAAAATCTCAAAAAAGAAATTTAAAAATAAAAATAAAATATTTATTTGATCCAAAGTGCAGGATCTTAGATCCCGCTTCTCCATCTTTCATAAAGCAAAAATGACAAATCCGACAGATTCTTACGTTCTGTTTTTCCTCCTCTTTGCTTGAAATCTAGGAACGGGAATTAGGGAGTTGAAGCTCTCGGACACGTGTGGGAGAAAGCCGGAGAAGAAACGAGGGTTGCCTACCTTATTTTTTTTTTAATAAGAGCAAGGTGGGAGGAGATTTAGTCGTGAATCTGTTGTTTTAGAGGTCTCTGGTTATTGTGATCCAGTTGCTGCCTTTGTAGGCATTTTAGAACTCTTGCAGCTTGGCGAACTCCTGCAGCGTCGATGGCAGAATCGAGCTGTGACTGTCCAAGTTAGGATTTTAACCTTGGAGTGTTAATTTTGTTTTATTTAAATGTTTTGAGTGCTTAAAATGCAAATATTAAAGTTTAACTGTGAAATATGTAAATATTATAGTTTTGGGTGCAATATGTATGTAAATCCCCAATTATAAAATACTAATAATAAAAGATATAAAAATAAAATCTTCCTAAAAAAACCAACCGAAAGGAATCACGGAAGTTTGTGATATAGAAATTAGAAGAGTTTAAAGGAGCTTTAGTTCGTCCTGCATCAATCTCCTCACCTAATAATTTATTCACTTTGTTGATTTGCTTCGAATCAATAGTACAAACAAAATCCCACAAAATGGTGAATCAAAATTGAGTTCTTATAACAGTAGATTCTGGGAGATGAATTGATTTTCATCATCATTCAAAGTCATCTTTGATTGTTTCTTAGTGAGAAATCCATGAATCGTCACCTGGGGATCTGCAGCTTCTGTTCATTAGATAGTTTGGATATCTATCAGTAGTAGAAGAAATGATTTTATTGACAATATTCCTTCGATTAGCATGGAAATTCAAAAATGGGCTATCTATTTGTTCGTGTGAATTTTAAAGGGAATGTGGCTTAATCTCAAATGATTAAAGATTGCACCGCATGAATAACACTAGAATTCTGTTAGATTTTTAAATTGCATGGATTCATATTTGTTTATTATATGAATTTATATGATTCTACTTTCTAATGACATTTTTCTTAGGATACATGTAGATAACATTTCAGGTCTAAATCAAACAATTATTTTGTCACCTAATATTTTTAATTCCATCTTCATTGGATCTGTAAAGTCCATTATGGAAAAATAAATTACGTGCAAATATCTGTCTACGAATGATGCAAATGTCAATGAATGATGCTTATAATGTAACACTGGCAATAAAAATGTTAAAATATTAATATTTTTCTTAATGAATTCTGATGGAAACATTATAACTAATTTTTAAACGAGGAGGCGATGAAGCAATTTTAAAGTTTATGTTATTAGGGTCTATATAGTTTTCTTCCAATCACAAGTAAACGACATAAATTTGACGTAACTTTTATCTTGGTATGCTAAATCTTTTAAAAAAATCGCTATGTTTAAAGATTAATCATGATGATTATACACCTTTACATTTGATAAAATATATGAATTTTAAATCTCAAGTTTCTTTCTTGGCTTTCGTAATTGAAATGTTGAATCAATTTTACTTTTCATAAGCTTTTTCTTTTTTATGAATCTGTAAATCTAGATATCAAGTATCAAACTTAGCAATAAAATCACCAGATTCTGTATCAGAAGTTTTGTTTGTAGGTAGTTAGTGATTTATCAGTTTATAGATGCATGATTTGCTCAATTTCTTGAGTATCAATTTATTCATTTTTTATTAGAAGTTCATGTTCAAACACGATCTCATGCTCAATTTCGAGTTTATACTCAAATTCGAACTGCTGTTTCAGTGTACATTCAAGTTCGCGTACATATCTAATGGAGGTGCTGAGTCAAAGTTTGTGAGTTTATAATATATGAATATTATAACTAGGAATCTTCTTTGGCATCTAATTCACATAAAAAAAAGTATTTATGAATTATAATTTCTTAAGATATAATCAAATTCAACAATACATGATTCTAATGCGAGATGATGATTATTTTTTTTAAGATGTTAATCATAGGTGTAGTAGTCCTATCAGGAAAATTGTAGTATTTCTCACCCTCTAATACTATTTGTAAGCTCTTATCTAATATCTTTGGAGAAGTGCAGCTTAATTCTTTCTTAAAATCTTACCTATAAATTTTAATGAAATAGATAATGATATTATCTTGAATGAAACTCACTTAACAATAGCTTACATAGTGAAAGAAACTAACTATTGAATAAGATGTACAAATTACATGAAATTAATGGTTGATTTGTCGCTTTCGACGATTATAAATGCAAATGTTTCCATCAGGATGTCTGAGTATCTTGGTTTACCTAATTTAAATGTAGGACAGCTGTCATAAAGTTAGGCACAGGATTTTTTGCAAATCATTAATATAAGCGACAAATTTTATATTTAGATGAAAATTAGAGATATGTACACTTCATATAGCAGTCATGATACCGGAGTTGAACCCAAATAACAATAGGGAGATAAATATTATTATTGAATTCAAATATGAACAGACAAAAATAGGAAATAACAACAAATGCGACACATCATCCCAACTAGGGCAACTTAAAAGGTGGCGGTGGAGGCTGTAGGGGGGTTGGGTAGGTGGCGGCATGATAGGAAAGGGGCTGGACAGCAGAAAAACAGCGGAAGGCTGCCGTTTGGGGGTGGCTGCATGTGGGGAGGGGAGGACTGGTGTTTGGGAAATATAGGGACAGAAGTAAGGTTGCGGATGGGGGCAATCTTGGTGGCTGGAATCAGCGCAAAGCTGCCAGGGGAAGGGTCCCGGACGGCCGGAACAATCATGGCAGCAGGTGGGAGAGCTGGAATCGCAGCGGCAACCAAGAGGGAGGGCTGGAACAGTGATGGCGGTGAGGATGGAGGGCTGGAACACCAGGAAGCTGCAGAAAAACATCCAAGGAGGGGTGTTTTCTCTGGCTGCAGCAATGATGATGACGGCGGTGGCGGAGGAAAGGGTGCAGATAAATACTCCCTCAGGAACCACTTACAGCCGGAGCACTACTCGACCCTTGGAATAAGATCACCACCTCGAGCGAGCTACAGCTGAATCAGCACCCGCCTTTGGATATGACCCTAGAAGAGAGAAATTGGGAAGCCGACGGCTGTCCTGAACAGAATCACCATCAAAGCTGAAAACCTAAACATAGGAATTAAATATGGAAGCCTTAGGTAATTAGGATCAAATCCACCGTCGAAATTAAGCAAGGTTGTGGTACTGTAGTAAAATTGCGATACTGTAGCTGAAACTAGGAAAGGGGGTTCCTAGGTACCTCCCTCGTCAATTCATGCTACAAATTTTGTGGATACAAATTCAGGAAAAGAATAACACAACCGATTGAAAACTCATGCTGCAACTGAAAAAAATGTACCATATTCAACAATAATTAGTCAAATAAGCCAATCACTTCTAAATTAGAGAATATAAATAGTGCAAATGAAGGAACTGACCAAATAAAACATTCTAGGCCTTCCTCCAATACAAGAAGTTGACTTCCACAGAAATTTGATGGATCACTGTAATTACAATCTACGTTTGTGTTTAGTTAGTATAGATGAATTATTATGTGCCTTTTTGTCTCGTGTGGCATATGTAAAATAATATTTTTTATATCTTTATTCTATTGTAGATTTATTGTGAAATTGCCTCATTGAAGAAGAAAACGAGCGATTTGGATCGGTCTGATGTGCAAAAGATGAATCTTCTGTTGGCGACTTTGTATGAATCAGCCCGCCTTCTTCCACCTGGTCCTTTCCTTCAAAGATGTTCTCTAAAGCACGGTATGCACTTTTATATTGTGCTTGGTAGTTTCACTTAATTTTTCATGTATTTTTGATTGAATAATGATTGTAGCATCTTCGTGGATTTCCTATTTGTAAGTATTCTGCAAAATACTGTGTACCTTCGAGTACAATAATTTTTGAGAGCGACTGTTGGTGTGCTGTGTATCTTTGTTTGGTTGTTCTATCATTTGCTCCTTATTTGATTTGTTGTTGAATGTTAATGCAAGTGGTGTATTATTCCATGTATTAGTTTCTGTTTTCATATTTATTTTGTTAATGATACTTTGAAAACAGGTTTTGTTATGTGGTGTTTGGATTATCTTATTATGTTTTATTTAGGAAGATTTATTTTCATACCACTCAATTCTTATGTATTTACATATTATCTAACACAAACTTCAATTTTACATATATGCCACCTTATCTATTGCATGAAATGGTGCATTTCACCTTTTTAAAGTTAAAATAGTTGTTTTTCTTATGTAATATGAAAGATTTGGGTGGTGTAAATGTAAAAAACCAAAGTTTAGGTGTTAGATATGTAAATACATACCAAAGTTTAGGTGTTAGATATTAAAAAACCAAAGTTTAGGTGTTAGATATGTAAATACATAAGAATTGGTGGTCGGTATGTAATTGCCCCTTTTATTTACTGCTTAACTGCGCGAGAACGTTGATAAAATCCTTTTGGACTCCCTGTTTCACACATATTCAGCTATATGCTTTGTTCATCCATTGCCTTGGGGCCTAATTTTTTTTTATGCTGATTTCATAAGCTGTTACTGTGGCTGAAACCTCTAGTTTCTTAGTGAGTTGAATTTCTTCTCCACGTGGTTCTGTGGGTTTTGTCCCTTGTACTAATTCACTGGTGTGAAAAGTCTCCGTTGTGCTTTCACCTGCTTTGTTCTGCCTTCCAAATCTCTTCCCACTAAGAAAGAAAGCCTCTTTTTCAGCCAATGGATGTTAGACAGCTGTAGATTTGCCTCTATGTGGAATTTAGTATAGCAAGGACATTTTTTAAAACTGTTTTTAAGATTTAAAATTATAACCTTGCTGGTTTTGTTCCACCTTGCAAGTCAGTTTTACTTTCAAAAAGACTTCTCTTTTTCCATGTACTTAAGGGTTGTTCGGCTGCTGTTGATTTCCCCCTTCGTAGAATTAACCGTAGCAAGAACAGTTTTTTACTGTTTATCAGATTTAAAATTGCCATTTTGCTGGAATTTGAGGAGGTTTAATATAGATAGAACCCTTTTGTCATGCAATTTACAATGAATGAACAACGTCTTAAAATTTGTAAGCTTAAGGATAGACATTTATGAGGCTAAATGTAAGCAGTAAGCTCCATGAACATCTATGCATGTTTACTATTTATATATAGAAATATTTTGTAAAAATTAAATTTAATTTTAAAATGCAAAGTCCCCATCATATGATTTTTGTTATAATTCTAAATTCTAATTGATACAAACATATAAAATGAAACCTCAAAATAAAATAAGATGAGCGATACCGGAGGTAACCGAAAGCACAACAATATACACACATTTATTAATAACTTAAAAGGGATGATTACAACGATGACTCAAGAAAAGGAAAATACACCATGTAAATCAAAACATAAAACAAAACATTACAACGACGACTCAACACATAAAGACTCAAAACACTGGCCGAGGAGGGAGTCTGGAGAGAAGGTGCTTGGGTGGCGGCTGCGGTGAAGGATGGTGTGGAAGTGGGACAACAAAAGGCTTTGAATCATAACCGGCAGAGGTCAGAAGCATTGTTGAAGGCTAGAAACTGGAAGGTGCAGCAACGGGCAGCCTGCAGGAGGCAGGGGAGATGTGCCTTGCTGGGTTAGGATGGCTACACGATGTTTGCGGGGGCAGGGAAGGCCCTGGGAACGACCTATGGGTGGCTGTGGCCTGCTGTGAGGGAGGCGGCGAGGGGGTGAGGACTGCAGGTGAGAGGGATGCAGTGATGGGAGACTTTGGGAAGGCCTGGAGTAGGTTGCAACTTGCTGGGCGTGAGGCGACAGGAGGTAGGAGGGGCAGTGGAACTGTTGGCGGTGATGTTGGAAGGCAACTGTGAGTTGCGAGCTGCAGGTAGCTGTAGTGGAGGCGGCTGGAGGGCAGTACGTGGGCTGCTAACGGCCTGCAAGGAAGCTGCAAGGTGATCGACGCTGGACTGGGAGGGCGTCAGGTGGTTGCTCTATTTGCAGAGAGGCAGCAGGTCAACTCGGCAGCGATCTGGGAGAAGAAGCGGGGAGAATTGGGTGGCTGCAGGTTGGCATGGAGGTGGTCGGATGAGCTGGTGGTTGGTTGGAGCATCGATGGACTGCGGGACAACGGGGTAATGGTCGGAATATTGAAGATAGACACCACCTCGGACAGGGTTATAGCCTGAGCATCTTCCTCATTATCGGATATAGCCCTAGATAGGGAAAAACTTCAGGCAAAGCTGAATTTAGATGTCAAAACCAAGACCCATAACACTAGACACTTCAAATCCTATTTATAAAAGACTTGATTCTAATTTAGGAAACATTTAAATTAAGAAAGGAGAATAAAAATAAAATCAAGATCTCAGATTTTTGGAAATGTTTAAATTAGGGAAGGAGAATAAAATCAGGATTTAGGCTTTTAGGAAAGGATTTAAATTAGGAAATGACCAAGGAAGGAAAATAGGAAGAGTAAGAAAAGAAAGAAAAAGGAATGGAGAAAAAAAGAAAGGAAAGAGGAGGAAGGAGGGGGACGTGGAGCCCCCCTCCAAGAAGATTGGCCGGTTGAGATGGGCTGGACCTACGCCCAACGGTCCCCCATGAGCCCATATTAGCTCCCAGGGTTGGGGGTGTTTCGACCTCAACTGTTGAAGCTTTTGGATCCTCAAAGTACGCTTTAAGATCTGCAATGTTGAATGTGACTGAAATATTGTACTTTCCTGTTAAGTTAATTTTGTATGTTCGTTGAGTTTTTGCATAATTCTGAAAGGCCCGTCTGCTCTGATTTTTAGTTATTAGAAAGCTTCTACGGGGAATAATTCCTTTTTTAATCAAATCTAGACGAGATCGCCTTCTTCAAATGTCACTTTTTCCTTGATTTGTTTGCCTGTGTTTAATATTTTCAGTTTTGTCTAGCTATCTCGTTAACAACCTCTTCGCATTAAGAGGCTTTCTTGCATGAATTAAATGTTTGCTTTGCATATACTTTAAACTTTATAGGATGTGCTGAAGGTGCACTTTTTTTTAGTGGAAGAAATGATCAAGGATTTTCTGAAATACTTAATGAAATTTTAAAAGGCATCATGAAGCATTTGTTTGATGTTCATACACTCTCCATATCAGAAAAAGATGTATGAGGTTATTAAAAATCTGAAACATCTTCGATATTTGAATCTTACTGTAAATCTCACTTGAAGGCCAAGATCTCTGACTAGTCTTTATTATTTACGGTTCATAATCTATGAGGAAGTGTTTAGGAATTTGTTTTCTCTGATGATTTCTTGCCTGGCGATATGAGTAATCTTTCTAATTTGCTTCACTTGGAATTTGCCCCTGAATGCATATTCTAATGCACCTGGAATTGGGAAATTAAGGTCATCTTAAGAACTAATAGAGTTTAGTGTTAAGAATGAGAATGATTATCGAATTAGTGAGTTGGAACATATGAGCAAGTTGTGCAAATTAAAAATACAGCTTTTCTTTTTTTCTTTATGTGGAGAATGTTAAGGATGCTAGAGAGGCTAGCACTGTGAAATTATTTGAGGAGAGAACTCTGATTTATTCTTGAGTTGGGACAAAACTATTGACGAATGGGAATCATATAGGGGAGTTGAAAGCCTACATGCCACACGATTCTTTAGTATTTACATATTTGACACCCTCTGATTTATTCTTGAGTTGGGACAAAACTATTGACGAATGGGAATCATATAGGGGAGTTGAAAGCCTACATGCCACACGATTCTTTAGTATTTACATATTTGACACCCAAATCTGATATCGCATATGCAGAACTTCAAACACTTGTCTATTCTATACTTATTGGAGTATTTACAAACATACCACCCAATCTCTATATGCCTATATATCCAACACAAGCTTTGATCCTTTACATTTATATCACCCATCTCTTATGTCTTGCATTTCTAACACCCAAGAGGTAATGCCGAACTTCAGTTCGTCTCATTGTTTATATGTATATCTTTGGAGATCCTTAAATGTTTATATTCATGAAAATTTGATGTTATACAGGTGATTTAGTGAAAATTTGAGCTCCATGTGGACTGTTTTCGGTTTTCATGGCCTTTTTGTTTTTTTGAAGAAAGTTTAAGTGCTGATTTTGTGATATTTAAATGCACCTATTTTGTGATGGTTGGGCTAGTTATTTTGGAATGCTTCGGGCATTTGGTTTTTGCGAAGTTTTATTTTGACTTGTTGGAGTTTTCGTAGGCTTTTATGGTTTGGTGGCGTTGAGGCTGCATTGGCTAGCTTTAACTGGTGATATTTGGATTGCTCTTTTTTTGAGATTATGTTGTAGTCTTTTAGATACGGATTCGAGGGCTTATGGGCTATATTTGTGGGCTATGATTGTAGTCGTCACATAGGTTCAATCTCCTTAACGTTTCGACTTGCTTGAAATACAATTTGGAGAGGATATCCTTCTTGGGTTGATTTGTTTGTGAAATTGAAGGAGACGATACCCTTTTGGATTGATTCAAGGATCTTGGGCTCTCCTTTTCAGATCTTTTCGTTACAAGTTTTGAGAGTTGATTCACCCTTCGCATTTTCGATATTTTGGGTGGATCAGTTCCTCCTCTCTCATCCCCATTTTTATTCTTTTTTTTCCTTATTTCTTGGTTCAGTTTTCAGTGCTTATGATTGACACATAAGTGCCCATATATAGTCTTTTGTTATATATGAAACCATCAAGCAAGGTCGCAAGTAGTTCAGTTTTATTTTGGGACTTAGGGTAATGATGACAAAGACACGCCGGTGGTAG